GGAGTTATCACACTAACAAAATTATGTAAATCAGAATGGGCTGGAACATGAGGAATAAATTGTATTTTACTTAAACTAGTCTGAAGACTTCAACTTCTGAGTTATGCATCACTGCCTGGAGATATATGTAAATGCTATAGACAACCCTCGGGAGAACTGAGGAAAGAATGCTCACAAATCCAGGCTGCCTGACATCCATTGTCCAGACCACCTGCCACCGGGGAGAACACAGTTTCAGGCCAATCCAAAGGCTAGGAACGCAGTACAGGGTCTTCTCAAGAATGTACTTTTTCCTATAAAAACTCTTAAATTTTCTCCTTCCTTTGGAACATTCTGGATGTTACCTGGTAGTGTTGACAGATTTGCAAGTCTTGAGCTTCTTGAATAAAACTTTGTCATTTCATTTTAGTGGAGCCTCCAGATTTATTTACACTCTGTCGACACTTTCTACTTGTTCTGGTCAGAGGGAATAAATCTCATTTATATAATAGTTTGACATATTTAGATAAGGTAAAGCACTTTTTATAGTGCTTAGCAAATCGTGAACACTCAACAAATAGTTACAATATTCTTTATTGCTACCATCACCAGCTTTATTTGATTGTTAAATATTAGTTAAAAGCAGCAATATTTTACACCATTTTGAGCTTAAATTCCACCTGAAAGGAACTATTTTTATCTTTTCCAATTCCTACATTAGCACTCTAATCTACCAAAGATTCCATTTCCTTGCCTATAGAGGTGGGGAATTGTATTGACACTATGGGATTATTATGAGGCTTAAATGAGACTGTTTGTGAAGTACTGGTGAGAGACAGCAACTAAGCAGATTTGGCGGTGGGGGGGGGGGTGTTTGTTTGTTTTTGTTACTTGAACAGATTCAGGTGAGAGCAGGGGGAATCAGGGTGTGAAGGGGATAAAAAAACCTCAGATAGCTTCTGAAATCTCTGTGTAACCTAATTCCAAATATTAAATGTACATACTCATCACCTGGGAATATTGTTAAAATGCAGTTGTGAGTCAGCGAGTGAGGGTGGGAATGGGCCCTGGGATTCTGCATCTAACAAGCTCCCAGGAAGAGACTTTATAATCTGACAGATCTGGATTTGCATCTGATTCAATCATTAATTTTATATGATGTTATCTTTGAGATTCAGGCTCCATATCTGTAAAATGGTTATAATAATACACACCTTATATAATCAGTATGAAAATTACACAATACAACATATATAAAACAATTGTCATACTGTAGACAGTAAAAGTTTTGATTTCCTACCCAGAAGAAAACTTGTAGAGAGTTTTGAAAAGATTGATCAAACTAATAAAATTTCATTTTGGTGATACAGATTTATTTTTCTTAAAAGTGGTTATGGCCTGCCCTAACCGGTTTGGCTCAATGGATACAGCATCAGCCTGCGAACTGAAGGGTCCCGGGTTCGATTTTGGTCAAGGGCACATGCCGGGGTTGCAGCTCGATCCCCAGTGGGGGGCATACGGGAGGCAGCCAATCAATGATTCTCTTTCATCATTGATGTTTCTCTCTCTCTCCCTCTCCCTTCCTCACTGAAATCAATAAAAATATACTAACAAAAAAAAAGTGGTTGTGGCCCTCGCCAGTTTGGTCAAAAGTGTGGGTGGCCTTGGGACCCCTGAAGTGTATGCAGTGTCTGAATTTAGGACAGTCACATGGAAAACTGAGCTCATAACTTGTGGAGTATGACCCTGCTCTGGTGGTAAACATCAGAAATGTATGGCAGTACACCCAGTTGCAGGTGAAATACGATGGAAAGAGACATAGAGCTGAACCATGCCAACATACAATGTGAGGGAGAAATAAATCTTCGATGTCTTGAGCTACCAAGATCTTGTTTATTTTGGGAGCATCATGTAATCTAATCTGACTGGTACAAAAGTACTTAAATTCCATTCTAAAGGAATTATGTCTGATTAGCTAAATTACTAATACTTAGTCTGGTGGGGAACATGGTATACCACACAGGGATACAATGGCCTGTGGTCACTCCTGCTTTGGGCTGCTCAGCGTATTTTGCCCGTTCCTTTTTGTCAAGTCACTGGCTCGCCCCTATCCCTGGATCCAGGGGTGGGCATGTTCCACAGCGAGGCCAATCTCAGTAACTGCGCACAGTGATGGAAAGAGATCCACAAGAGGCAGGCCAGGACCACTCCCAGGGGTTCCCTAGCTTGGAGTGCAGCTGAGGCTCCCAGTGACCCCCTTTCCCATCCTGTGGAGAATGCCAGTCTGCAGAGAAGCTGAGCAGAGATGAAAGACAGACATCCATGAGGACAGACCTCCTGGCATTGCACCCCAGTTTCAGGACTCTACACCCCAGTTCCTGCAGCTCAACTTTTCATTCCAGAACTCAGCTTAGAATCCTTCCCAACTGCATGAGCTGGGAATTATTCTTCTTTAAGCTGATGTGAGTTGGATATCTCTCATGATAACTGAAGAGCCCAGACTAAGGCAAACTACAATTGAAACAATTTTGGCTATAAGAAAACTCTTTGGGCCGAAACCGGTTTGGCTCAGTGGATGGAGCATCGGCCTGCGGACTCAGGGGTCCCAGGTTCGATTCCGGTCAAGGGCATGTGCCTTGGTTGCGGGCATATCCCCAGTGGGAGATGTGCAGGAGGCAGCCGATGGATGTTTCTCTCATCGATGTTTCTAACTCTCTATCTCTCTCCCTTCCTCTCTGTAAAAAATCAATAAAATATATTTTTTTAAAAAAAGAAAACTCTTTGGGTGAATTTCGTATTTTATTTTTGTTTTAATGGATTGGTATTGTTAAGTTGATACATTTTCAGAATTCTAGCTTAAAAGAACCCTGGGAACTACCAAATACAGAGATCACCAAAGGAAGAGAAGGACTCCAAAGTGAACAAAAAGACTTGAATTTCTAAAATTCTCTGGGATGGGCCAGGCCATGAGTAACTGTTGTCTAAGTATGCAAATAGTATTATCTCAAACAACTAAACCCAAGTTATCGCATTATAAACAAAATTTTCCAGAATAGTAAGTCGTTTTTAAAAGGATTATAGCTTGGTAATTTGCATTTGACTTTATCTAAGCTCTTTTTGAGGAATGATTTTATACAAGTAGGGTTTATTTTCTCTCGCTGGCAGTTTTGAGACAAGAAACAAAATAAGCACCGTTGCCTATACTGCACATGGCATGTGACTCTGTGCTTGGCATCAGACAGACCTTAGTTCGGGTCTGACTTTGTTGCTTAACACCCATCATGCCTTGGACAAGTTACTCAGCTCCTCTGGGCTTCAATTTCTTTATCTGTAAAATAAAAGTAATATTTACACTATTTATAATCTGTAGATTAAATGCTTAACATATATATTTAACAGCGCATATGTTCTATGCTTAATAACTGATAATTACTAGTATTATTATATTGAGTCATCCAGGCTGCTTCCAGGCTGTCTAAAATGTGTTGCTATATAAAATAAAATCCTCTGCCAAACCCACTTTGGGGGGAAAGTTACTCATGGGATTGGAAAGATGCCTACTTTTTCTAACATCTGTATAATCATTATCTTACTATCTGAATTAAAAATAGTGGGATACACTTTTGAAAAGCAAATAGCAACCATATTGAGGGGCAGAATGTATTTAAAGAGAAAACTGATCACTTTTAATTTGGTCTAAAAATATCGACCTCAAGCTGAAATAAGTAAAGACCGGCTTATTATGACAGTCCTGTCCCCCTCAGAGAAACCTTAGCCCTTTAAATGTGCATGTAACTAATACAGGTTATTAGCTCATGACAATGACGTCACTTGGCCGGATGGTTTCCATTTGGCACAGGCAAGTATTCCCAGAGAAATGGCTCCTAGGAAAGCATGTCTCCATACTTCATAAAGTAAAGTAGTTCTAAGAATTAAATGAGATAATGTGTGCAAACTATTACAGTGCCCGGCACTTACTGGGGACTCAATAAATGTCAAGTGCACGCTTGTGTGCGCACACACACACACACACACACACACCTAAAAAGGGACCTGAGAAGGAAGTTCTAAAGCAGAAAGGGAAGAGTCTGGGGGAGTGGTGTCAGTTGAGGAGACAGTTAAAAGATGAAGGTAAAGTCCATAAAAAAATAAAAAAAAATGCTACAAAGAGGTCTTTGAGGGGTTGTGTGGGTTTTTTGGTTGTTTGTTTGTAGCTAAATTCTACATTTTGACATCTCACATAGTTGGCCTTCTGACCTCCATTAATGTGATGTCATTAGAGATATTAGATCACCCTTTGAGACATGTAATTAGGAGGAAGAATGATCTCAGTGTTGTTCAGGAAAGGAAATCACAACATGAGAGTCTGGCTGTTCTGGCATCATTACATTCAATAAGAAAGAGGCGCCTGAAAAGTATCCATTGAATCTGGCCGTGGTGACTTTGGAGGAGGAGTTTCAGTAGGATGGGTGAGGTACTGTCATGTGAGGAACTCTGACATGTGAGAATGGCGATACAGAAATTACCTGTTCTGTTCGAGGGTTGGCTCGGGCCAGAAGAGGACACCCAAAACAGTAAAGTGGAGAATAGGATCAAGTTTGCTTCTTTGTTTAAAGATGCAAAACACGCATGAGTGTATGCTCAGGAGGAGAAGTTGGAAACATAGAAGAGAATGATAGTTGGTATATAAGGTAAGAGGTTGTAGGATCCAGAACACAAGTGGAGGGTGCACACCTTTTACTGTAAAATGAGAAGGAAATATGAATGAGCATAAATGTCATAAACTTTTAAGAATGGGAGTAGAGAGTTTACATTTCTCATGGTGTACTGTACTACATTTGCTCTGAACAGTTAGGCCTGAGATTGAGGGGCAAGAAGTTCAAGGGAAGGAGTATAAGATTGATGCATAGAATTAGAAAACTAGGTGATTGGTTTGATATCAGCACATAATAAATTTGGGGTACGATAGCTTTAAACCCACAAATTTCTTCATAGAGTCAATGAATGACCCTACTTATAAAGGAACTGGAGCTCTTCTAAGCTTTTGAACTAGGTCTTTGGAGGGTAAAATTTTAGTCTGAAGCTTTGCTGGGGAAAAAAAAACAACAAGTGGGTTTAACCTAGGGAGTGGGTATGTGTAGCCAAAAATTGGAGTCATAGATCTCATTCCTCAAGGGTTCAAGGATTAGCACAATGATGGAAAAACTCCCTCTCTCTTCTGCTCTATTTTCATTTTACTAGAGGCCCGGTGCACAAATCCGTGCACGGATGGGGTCCCTCTGGATGGCCTGCAAGGATCGGGCCAAAACCCGCAGTCCAACGCCGCCTGCAGCTTGCTTCTACCTGCCGCTCCCGCTCATCCCAGCCCCACTGTGCCTGCTGTGGGCTTGCCAGCCATGAGTCCTGCATCTTGCGCCCTTCCAAGGGGAGTGGCGTGCGGGAAATCGGCTCTCCAACATCCCCCAAGGGGTCCCAGATTGTGAGAGGTGCAGGCCAGGCTGAGGGACCCCACCAGTGCACGATTGGCTGGGGAGCAACCGCGGGAGGGCTCCAGGGCTGTCCGGCCCGTCTCACTCAGTCCAGATCGGCTGGACCCCAGTAGCAAGCTAACCTACTGATCAGAGCATCTGCCCCCTGGTGGTCAGAGCACGTCATAGCGAGTGGTTGAGCAGCCTTAGCATATCATTAGCATATTATGCTTTGATTGGTTGTTCAGTTGTTATGCTGTTTGTCCTATTTGCATATTACTCTTTTATTATATAGGATTATTGTATTTATTTCCTGGCAGCCTTTGTTGCAGACGCCCTCTTTGCTCAAGGGTAGGAAATTCATAATCCAAGGCCATTCCCAGAAGCTTGTGTTATGATAACCTTCTGAATTTTACCTGGGTCTCCAATATTATTAGTCAGTCATTTAAAAATACTTTAGGGTCAAAAGCTGTTGTGCTCATTGTAGAGTAAGCCTGACTTTATTTCAGTTCAAAGGTGCAATGACATAAACAGCACACAGAGAGCAATTTTACGGCTACACTGGAAAACGCAAGAGGTAAGCCTGAATATGAAGATGGATTAATTTTCAAGGTCACTGTTCAATAAAGAAAAATCTAATTGAAGTAAACAGATTCCAAGTAAGTTTTGGCTAATATTGGCCTCTCTACAACAGACTGAGTGTGTCATAAATTATTCACATGTGTTGATGAGTTACTCTGGTTGCCATGATAAGAGGCTGGCTACTGCTCCATGTCCAGCTCATCCTCAATTTCTTCTAACAAAAGAGCACTCTTACCATGAATAGGTCCCCCTGTCCCTGGAGAGATTTTTTCGTATATAAATAAAAGCTGCTTGAGTCCCTGGGTCTTCAGTCTCGCTGAGCCAATTAACAGCACTATCCGTTTCTACCACAAGGTGGCGCACGCAAACCTCCAAAGATGTGGCGCAGCTATGCTGCAGAATGCCAGCCTTCACAGAGCCAGAAGCGGGTGTTAGAGTAGAAAGGATCATCTAAGATCCCATGCGTTTCACAAGTGAGAACCTTAAGACCCAAAGAAAATAAGCGACCCCGCCGAAACCACACGCTGGTTTGGCGAGGGCAGGATCAAAGTCCGCGTCTCCACATTGCCAATCCCAAATTCATTCACCAAGGGGCAGTGGTTTTCAATCAAAAACAAACGGACAAACAGAAACACTCTTTTATCCCAACGAAATTGTATAAAGAATACATACTTCTTCCACACCCTCACCCTCCCCCCACAAAGCCCTTCCGTGAGTAGATAAATGAAAATAGATTCTCTCTAATTGAAAGAATTGTCCCTGCCCAGCCAGGGTGGTTCAGTGGTTGAGCATCGACCTATGAACCAAGAGGTCTCCGGTTCAATTTCCAGTCAGGGCACATGCCCGGGTTGTGGGCTTGACCCAGTAAGGGGGGGAGGGGGCGGAGGAAATGCAGGAGGTGGCAGATCTATCTCTGTTTCTATCTCTCTATTGACAGATAAGAACTCTGAAGCATAAAGATCACAGAGCGGGGAAATGGAAGAGCTGGAATTTGAGCCTCAGCAGTCTGGCCCCAAAGCTTGTGTTCTTAATCCCCAAAGCTGTGGCCTCCCGAGTGTGCTGGCAGCTTTGCTTAGAAAATTGCAACAAGCAGGCAGCCAGTCTCTCCATAGGCATCCCGTCTATCCAGTAATTTATCTGCAGCTCCACTCATCCTTGAATCCTCCCCTTTTCTATCCATAATTTTGATTCCGATTTCTTCAGTGCCCCAAGGACTTGCTCCACCAATTAGTTTTCCTTACCCCTCTACAGAAACTGCCCCACTGAAGCTGCTAATGAAACCTTGTTTGACAAACCCAGTGGCTGCCCCCAGTCCTCTGCCTTCTAACCCTCTCCCAGGGCACTTTTCCCCTGTTGGCCCTGACCCTGGCCCTCAGCCTCCATCACCTTACAAAACACGATCCTCCTCTGGTCTTCTTGCACAGCAGATGTTCGCACTCCATTTTTTCAGTGCAGAAGTTTGACCCCCCACCTTAGACCACGTAACTCAGAATCTCATTCTGGGGCCCAGACATTTTTGCTTTTTCAAAGTTCCTCAGGTGATCTGGCTGCACAGCCAATGTAAGAACCACTACCCTTCATAAACCAGACATGGCAGGTAAATATGCATGATTCCACTCACATGAGGCATTCAAATAGTCAAATTCATGGAGATGGGAAGTAGAACAGGGGTTGCCAGGGCCATGCAGACTCCATGCCATCACTGTCTCCTTCACCTGAAGTGTCTTTCCCTGCCTGCCTGCCTGATTTATCCCTACTCCTCCCTGAGGCTCAGCTCAGGGCTGGTGCTAGGCTACTTGGGCTTTGCATTCTCTCTCTCTCCCTCAGCAATCTCACTTGTTCATAGCTGCAGCTCTTCCAAACATATGACTCATTCCCAAACCACCTTCAGCCCTGGCAGTGCTCCTGACTTCCAACTCAAATTCACATTTCCCACCAGCTCTTCTCCACAGACACCCTCTTTCCTCTGGCACCTCAAACCCAACATGTCCAAAACGTGAGCTATCTATCATTTGCCTTCTTTCTACCTTGCTTTTTTTTTTCTTGTGCTTTCTTTTTCAAAAATTAGCATCATCCTGTATTGTGTATATCAAATACTTAGAATGGTGCTTATAGCTATTGTTATTATGTGGAGGTTAATAATATTAACAGTGATAGACTTATAGCAGCAGAAATGTGATAAAGACTTTTAGGAACATGGTAAAACTGGTAATGAAGTACATACCACTCCACAGCATTTCCATATTTAAAACAGCATTTAAAAAGTCAGTCTCTTAGAATATCAAGGTAATCTTAGCAAAGTAACTTGGGGCCAAATACATACTGTAATTTATTATTCCCAGAGCAATTCCCAGAGGTACAGTGAAGAAAACTTCCTTTGAAAAGTAGAGCTTTGCCAGAAAGTGTGATGAAAAGTAGAAATACTAAAATATGTATGTCAGATATATAGACTAAGAAGACACAGATGGCCAAAGGTTGAACAACTTGATGTCTCTCTAATCAGGATGTGCTATAGATTATATGTCTTTCAAAATAAGTATTAAGATTAACTGACTAAACAAAATACGTGTAAAAGTGTCCCAAAGATGAGCCAATCTAAATGAATGAACAAATTGTGGCATGTACATATAATGGATTATTCAAACTTCAAAAGGGATGAAATTCTGACACATGCCACAACATGGAAGAACCTTGAAAACATTATGCTAAATGAAATAAGCCAGTCACAAAAGGACAAATGCTGTATGATTTTACTCCTATGAGGTACTTAAGTACTCACATTCATAGAGACAGAACATAAAATGGTGGTTCTCAGGGACTGCAGGGAGGAATAGGAGTTAGTTTTTTTTTGTTTTTTTAAAAATACATTTTATTGATTTTTCACAGAAAAGAAGGGAGAGGGATAGAGAGTCAGAAACATCGATGAGAGAGAAACATTGATCAGCCGCCTCCTGCACACCCCCCACTGGGGATGTGCCCGCAACCAAGGTACATGCCCTTGACCGGAATCGAACCTAGGACTCTTCAGTCCGCAGGCCGACACTCTATCCACTGAGCCAAACCGGCTATGGCAGGAGTTAGTTTTAATGGACACAGAGTTTCAGTTCAGGAAGATAAAGAAGTTTCAGAGATGGATAATGGTGATGATTCCACAACAATGTGAATGTGTTTATGCCACTGAACTGCACGCTTAAAGATGGTTACGGTGGGTGGTAAATTTTATGTTATGTATGTTTTACCACAATTAAAAAAATGAAAATAAGACCCATTAAGCTCATTAGTTAATAGACAACCATAAAGTTTCCTTAGGTATTCATAGGGTGGGGCAAAAGTCGCTTTACAGTTGCAAAACACAGAGTTTATCCTTATATTATTATTTATTATATTTTTCCCTACTAATTGGTATAATTTATAAACTTTCATATATATGCAATATACTTCTCAAGGTTGAAATATCATTAAGGAGGACAGTTTGGGAAGCAACTTTCAAGTATATTGAAATTAAAATTGGAAAGAAATAATTAAAAATAAAAGTATAACTTGCATCTAAGAAATAGCTGCAGGAGGAGGATGGCCCTTTTAAAAAGAGAACAACAGGGAAATAAGGGGTACTTTATTTTAATACAAAAGTCAATTAGAACAGAAATTCTAATATAAACCTGTCCCTACACCTCTGCCATTATACAAATGGAATATTTAATTTTGAGTGTCATGGAAAAATGAAGAACTGTGAATATTAAAATTGCATTGTATTCTCTTTTTGATTGAATACCTTTTTACTGGAAAACATCAAATCAAAAATATTTCCCAAAATAATAAAGTTAGCATGTCCGATATGTTCTTCCCCAGCCGCTCCTGAAGAGGCGTTAGAGAAGCAGTTAGTGTTCCCAAAACATCCATGTGCTTCTCCGCCTCCTCCAGGCTCCCTGGGGGTTGGGGCTGGGGCCACGTGAGGAGTGCTGGCCAGTAGCAGCCTGCCAGGGGCCACTTCCTGGCTAAAGCAGTTAAAAGCCTGTGAGCCTCGTCCTCTCTATATCCCTGTCCTGGTGACTGGCAAGTGAGAAGGTGATAGAGATCACAAGAGACTGGAAGTCTAGATCCCCGAGAGGTTGCTTGGACACAGACCCTGCCAGCCTGCTCTGGACTTTCTGATAAATAAAATTTTGTTTCTTAAGCCACTGAGGTGTGAGGGTTTATTTGTACCATCACACAGCCACACACTCTTACTGACATAGAGTGATGATAAAGTAGGAATTATTAGTAAGTAGCCTTCATTAAACTCTATGAACGCTAGAGGGCACGATTGTGCTATGGAAAACCTTGGCCTATATTGTAAATGAAGCAAGGTGAGGAATTGTAGTAAATCTGTTAGCTACATTTCGCCATTCGAGATCATTAAAATAAAAAAGAATTCACAATACTTTCATTTTGACACAACACCAATAAATTCCAAAATCACGTAAAGCATGTGTATACATTTACAAACATGAATATTTACATCATAAAACTAGTAGAGTGTTCTCAGTGTAAGCGAAGAGTTTGTTTTCCATCTGTATTTTTTTTTCTTTCTTTCTTCAAATAAGCTTATCTACCAGCAGTGCCTGTTAGGCCACGCAATCCATACATATTCTAACCGGATCACTCGAGAAAGCCGAGGTTTTTAAGGTCTCATTATAAAAGGTGACCAGATGTTCCAAACATCAAGTTGTGACAGGAAGCTCCCCACCCATTGCAAATGTCATGCTGAGTTCTGAGCAGACTTCCTTTTCCTGTTTCCTTTTCCCCCTCTCTCCCATTTTTTTTCTTTCTTCAAAGTCTATTCAAAAGCTGCTGCCAGAACTGTCTTCCTCTGTTGTTGTTCGGTTGACATCATCCTCTTCCCTAGCTCACCCTGGTCTCCTGATCAAAGTTTGCCTCATTTCCTTGGACTGTGGCTGTGCCTCCTCCATGTCATTTTCCCCTTATTTCTGCTTCTTCTCACCAACTGCTACCCAGGGTTGTTATTTTTGATGTCTCAGAGTTGAGGTATCTTAATTTATCTGTACTTTGAACAACGAGAGTATTCCTGTGTCTTTATCCCAGACTTTCCCAGGTCTCTTCCAAACCAACTCCAGGTACATATTCATGCTCGAGCTCTCTGTGCCACTAGATATCACACTCCTTTAAAAATATTTTTGAGTAAGTTTAAGACAATATCATATCAGTATCATAGCAACAGAGAAATTTTATTATAGCACCTTAGAAAAGGCAGCTGAGTCAAACCCAAGACTCTAACTTTAATATGAGAAAAGTTATCATCTAAAGTATATGATATTATTTAGTGAACCAAACTGGAGTATAAAATTAGTTACTGTGGTTATAACCTACTGTTATTGATGTGATATATACAAAGTCCATTTTGCATTCCTATTAATGTAAAATTTTGAGATTTTAAAATGCCTAATAATCACATGTATTGAAAGAACATCATTTCTTTTTTTATTATTAATTTCAGAGAGAAAGGGAGAGGGCGAGAGATAGAACATCAATATTGAGAGAGAATAATTGATCGGCTGCCTCCTGCACACCCCCTACTGGGCATAGAGCCTGCAACCCAGGCATGTGCCCTTGATTGCGATCAAACCTGGGACCCTTCATTCTGCAGGCTGATGTTCTATCCACTGAGCCAAACTGGCTAGGGCAAGAAAATCACTTCTTAACTGAAGACCTGGATGATATTTTTTACGTAAGAGTTTAGAATTTGGTCTAATTAGATTTGGTGTATTAGAAAGCATACTAAGTTAACAGTTCCTAAGTCAGTCATTAATTTGGTGCTTTGTACTTGGCGTACTAGTTTGAATCTCTCATTCCTCAGTTTCCTCACCTGTAAAGTGGGGACAGTGACATCTACTTACCCATTCTTTAAGATTGTAGTAAGAATCTAATGAAAGAAAGAAAAAAAAAGATTGTTGTAGGAATCAGATGTGATAGTATACTCAGATAATTTGACAAGTATAAAGTATTTTTCAAAGTAAGGCAGTATTGTCATTATATTTATGCTACTGAGATTAAAGATGTTGTGGTGCAAACAAATTATATACTTTATTGTCTGGATCAACTAAAAGTTCATGTCATCTTTAGTTGTTTATGGAAACTGTTTTAGACTTACAGGCTTAAATGGCACTATAATAGTAAGTAAATTAAATGATCTGCCTCTGCTATTATAACTTCTCCAAATGCTTCATTTCAAATCAAGTTAATATTTGTGCATAAGAAAAATGATTTTCTCTCAAAATGTGTATATTTTTAGAATTACAGAATTCAAATTCCTGTCATATTTTTCCTGACCCAATGATATTAAGTATTCTTAAAATTTTTATCATGTGCTTACTATGTAGCAGGCATTAAACTAGAAAATAAAAGCTAGAAATAGAAATAAAATGAAAGGTACCTGCCATAGAAGAGTATTATTATTTTACTTGAGTGTTTAAAATTAAAAACATAATTTGATATTTTAAATGACTATAGAATCAAAGAAATAGTATTGGTATGCCACATTTATTAAATTGTATCATTTCTTATTAGATATAACCTAAACATAACCCAAAGTAAGAGGCAACAGGCATTCTTTGAGATAAAAAAAAAAAAAGCTATTGGAGAAGCACTGATTCAGGCAGAAACCCAAGGTTTCTGATTAGGAGTCAAAGGCAAGGGGTATTTGTAAGAAAGGGAAGAGTGGCCTCTAGGGCGTGGCTCAGTGGGTAGAGTGTTCACCTGCAGACTGAAGTTTGATGCTGGTCAAAGGGGAGCTTGTTGTTTTTAATTTTTAGTACCATAGTCATTAGTTCTTAAGTTATAATGTCTACTTTCCTGTTATCCTTTCAAACAGTTCTTTTGGACACAGGGTTGCCCAGACCAAAGTTCATTTTGCCCCATTTTAGCATTCCAAAGGTTTGAGGCATGGCAGCTCTGGCTCCATTTTAAAGTGGCTCCATTTATATTATTTTTTACAAATAGTAGCCAATTTTATTCCCAGTTTATGGAGAAAGAAACTGACACTAAGAAAAGTAACTTGTCAGGTTCATACATCTGGTAACTGGAATTTGAACCTGAGCAAAGGTGTTCTTCGTCCCCATGCTGCACTATCTCAACAAAAGGAACGTGGATAAGTACATGTTTAGAACCGGTATATAGACCTGGAGTCCATGAGGACATTTCTGGATAAGATTAACACTTAAATGAGGAGACTGAGTGAAGCAGATAGCCCTCCCTAATGTGGGTGGGGTGGATCCCATCCAATCAGTTGAAGGCCTGAATAGAACACAAAAGTTAACCCTTCCCAAGTAAAGGAGAATTCCTTTTGCCTGACTACCTTCAAACTGGGACACTGGCTTCCTTCTGTCTTTGAACAGGAACTGAAACATCATCTCTTCCTGGTTTTCAGACTTTTGGACTCAGACTGGAACTCACAATTGGCTCCTCTAAGTCTCCAGTTCACTGACTCAGACTCACACTGCAGGTCTTAGGACTTGGGACTTGTCAGCCTCCGCAATTACATTACGTACAATCTCTCTCTCTTTCTCTCTCTCTCTCTCATCTACACACACACACACATACACACACACATCCTATTGATTCTGTTTCTCCGGAGAGGCTTAATACCAATTTCTTAAGGCCCACCCAAAAGCTAAGGAGGATGGAGAAATTATGATTCTATAATATTTTATAGTTCCTGTCTGAATAGGGTAAAAATAATGATTTGTTCCAGTCATAACTCTAACACTTAGTAGTTGTTTAGTCTTGAGTAATTCACTTAATGAATGAATCTCATTCATTCATTCATTCATTCATTCTACAAATAATGAATGCCTTTTCTGTGCCAGGCCCAGAAATTACTGATGTAGGCATTTTGGAGGTCTGGGAACCAGACCTGCAACCCACTGTGGGTTCTTAGCTTTGCACAGGAGATAATTCAAATACCAGCCAGCAGAGAGCTTAAAGTGAAAGGGAGTTTACTAGTGAAGCAGTGAGACAGAGGGGCTACTGCACAGACCGAGCAGCCCCTCCCTGGTGGGACTTACTTTTTATTCAGACTGATTTAATTGAGGGGTAGGGTATTCGATAAGGGGGAGGACTATTCAGGATTTTTCCAGGACAAGGGTGGAGACTTCTCCGAAGAGATCTGTTGGCCAAGTTGTGTTCTTAGATAGGCTTTCCCTTTCTGATCATGGCAGCTGTGGGTTGTGTTGTTTACTACACTAATGTATTACAATGACGCTAGGGGTTGCCAGGAGGTAAAATTAGTCACCGTGTTGGATGGAGCTGACCTTCTGGGAGTTCTAAGGCACAGAGCCCTCATGTAGCCCTCATTGGTTACAGCTGTTTGGCCACATACCCTGTCTCAGCACTGTATGAGACACTGAAAATGTCAGAGTAGGTAAGAAAAAGGCCCCACCCTTAAAAATTCAGTAGAATGAGAGTTAGAGGCAGTTCATAGAAAAATTCTTGTTCTCAAGAGTTGTAAATGTTGAATTATCAGGCACCTTTCTCTCCTACTCTACCCCAGCACAAACCCTCTACTTCTGGCATCGACTAGCACTCTTACCTTCAGCCCAGCTAGGTTCTCCTGTTGCTTCCTTGTTTCACTGTCCTAAACCTATTTTTGCTGTGGCCAACAAATTCTTACTTACTCTGCTGCACTTTGTCTCTTGATGGAAATCTTTCCTTCCAGAAGACAAGAACTGGGGTCTCCTCCTCGCACTGGTAACACTTACGGTAAAATGTACATTCCGGGGAAGGATCCGTCCTGCACCTCAGCTTCTGGAATGGCTGAGAGGGAGATCTTCCAGATGTCAGGGGTTCTGTACACACGCACATTCCTTCCCGAGGTCTTCGGAGTGTTATCTGTAGGGTTTATAGGCACTGATACACAACTGAAAGGTTCAGAAGCTTAAGTCCTCAGGCTAGGTAAGGTAAAATAAAACCTATTCATGTTTCAACCCATTCTGATTTAAGTAATTTTGTTAGCTCAGCTATGGCACCTCCATTTTGTTTCTTCATTCTCTCCTCAGTTTCATTGTTCTGATTTTTCATAAACGACACAATGAAGTATAAACCTCATAATGGAAATTTTGTGTAAAATATTTTCAGTTTCCAAGTGGAAAACTTAGCCCAATAAGTTACAAATAAGTCACTTGTAATGTTATTATGAGAATGATTGACATTATTTGTTTATAATCATAAAGAAATTAATCAACATCTAACTGAGATTAAATATTTTCTATTCGTGACAAGTATGCAAAAGGACTTCATCATGTAATGTAGATGAAAAAGGGGCCAAATCCTAAACCTGACAAGCTCAGAGGAGGCCTGCATGATGTGCCTTCCAAACTCAGAGACTGACAGCAACCACATAGGGTGGTCTGGACAAAAATTCCTGTCTGGCCGGTGTGATTCAGTGGTTGAGCATCAACCTATGAACCAGGAGGTCACGGTTTGATTCCCGGTCAGGGCACATGCCCGGGTTGCAGGCTCAGTCCCCAGTGGGAGTCAGCCAATCGATGATTTTTCTCTCATCATTGATGTCTCTACCTCTCTCTCCCTCTCCCTTCCTCTCAGAAATCAATGAAAATATATTTTAAAAAATACATATAAATATTCCTAATTATAAATGAGTCAGGGAGGATAGTCACATCCTAAGGTGTAGCTTCCTTGACAAAGGTCAATCTTCACCGTAAGTGAGACAGTCTATTGTCTTTTTGCATCTAAGAAAACAGACCTATGAAATAGCAGAGTATTCACCTTTTCAAGGCCCCTTAGGGCACAGCCACCACAACAGAGCAAGAGACCACAGAACCCCTCATTGTTTTCTTGCCCTGAATAACATCTCTGTGTGCTGTCAATGTTAGTTATTAACTATCCTGTACTCACCAATATAAAAGAAGTATGTGTCTCTCCATTTTACTCTTTATCCAATCCCAGGACACAAAATCAACATGAAATTTAGTTGCACTAACAAAATATCTGAAGGAGAAATAAAGAAAACAATCCCATTTTACAAGAGCATAAAAACAATAAAACATTTAGGAATAGATCTAATCAAGGAGGTGAAACATCTATACATTGAAAACAATAAGGCATTGATGAAAGAAATTGAAGGGGATACAAATAAATGAAAAAATATTTTATGCTTATATGGGGTAGGCAGAGCAAGGATGATGGGCCAGGTACAGAAGGTCATGAGGGTGGAAAGCCCCAGGCGCCTTGCAATGGACAATTGTAGGGTGGGACCTCGCCCCCAGGGTGACTTTTCCTCCCCTAGCATATCGCTGGTCATGTGGTTTTGACCCCCTGACTTTTCCTCCCTAGAGATAACATTTAGGCCCCATGTATATCACTCCAGGTCCAGAAAAGCAGCAAAACCAGACCAGTGACCCCATGACTGACCAGCTGTATTGAATTATGACCCCCTGCTCTAGTGAAAAGTTGTTCAACATCACTAATCATCAGAGAAATGAAAATCAGAACCCCAGTGAGATAATACTTCACACCTGTTAGAATAAATCAATAAAAATATTAAAATAGAAAACAAAAAATACAGAAATTTGTATATAATCTTGAGATGGTTAACAGCACAGAATTATGCAAAGTCCTAGCAAGTATACCATAAATTTGATCATTTGGACATATAAACACTTAGTAAACTTACTTTAATATAATCAGATTGAAAATCCACATAAAACTGTGAAGTGGAAAGATCTTTGGCTTGGGAGTAAATATTAGCTCTGATTCTACTGCTAGTAGGTATTGGATTTCTTTTTAGGGGGCAAAATGATTTATTGATTTCAGAGAGGGAGAGATAGAAACATCAATGATGAGAGAGAATCATTGATTGGCTGCCTCCTGCACACCCCCCACTGGGGATTGAGCCTGCAACCCAGGCATGTGCTCTTGACTGGAATCCAACCTGGGACCCTTCAGTCCACAGGCCGACACTCTATCCACTTAGCAATACCAGCTTAGGGCTGTATTTTTTGTTTTTTAATGTCTACCAGATTATTATTCATTGTTACTCCTCACCCAAGGGTATTTTTACATTGACTTTTTTAGAGAGTAGAAAGGAGGGACAAAAAGAGAGAAACATCGATGTGAGATAGACACAACTATTGGTTGCCTCCCATAGGTGCCCCGACTGTATTGAGCCTGCAACCGAGGTACGTGCCCTTGACCGGAATTGAACCCAATACCCAAGTCCACAACCAAAGCTCTACCACTGAGAAAAACCAGCTAAGACTCTACCAGATTCCTGAGGGTACACGGCAAACATTTAGGAACAGATCTTATGTACTCTAAACAAATTCAGGGAATATTTTTTTCTTTGGATGTATAGTTCATCATCTCAAAAGAAATAACACCGGTAATTTTTACAGAGAATATGTGAGACTTTAGAGAAAAGTTTAAAGAAGTTATTTATTCTGGAGCCTTTTATAAAAGGAAACTTTTTTTCCCCAATTTCATGGTTTTCAAATAAAATCCACAGCTAGACAATTGATTCTTAAGCCATCTAAGGAGAACCTAAATATTTTCCTGAACAAGAGTTCAAATAAATTTTAAAAGTTCATCACCATAGCATAAAACAAATTTCCCAGTCCGTGGTTTTCAAACATCCATTCCTTGGTTTCTAGCTCTGTTTTGATTTTAACTTGTTGGAATTAATATTACTAAAATGAACACGAGTGCCAATTCTTTACTTAAAAAAAAGTCATCATATCTCTTTTAATACAATATAAACTAAAATATACAAAATTTATTAGGAGATAGTCTATGAATGTTTTATGAATGAATGAATAAGCTGATTTTTAAAATATTAAACCGTCAGATGAACCCAGTGCAGACAGCCAGTTCCAGGATTACCCAGTTTGAAGTTCCTTCTTCTCAAGGAGCTCACGGCCTTCTAAGCATCCACCACGATCAACAAAAGAGTTAAAGAACTGAACCTTGGAAATTGAGTCTGTGAGAAATATTGTTTAGAATGGATTTAGACCTCAGAACCTCATTTCTATCTGAATCATGCAGGGATGACTATAAGTGAGAAAATATGGACTTTAAACCTAGCCAAACACCTGCTCTCCAAAAGGTGGGGGCCAGAGGTGTATCTGGGTTTCAGATCACTCAGCTCAGCTTATTTCAAAACAGCAATAACTCATGTGCAAGGCAGACACTGCAAAGGCTCTATAAGTCATGTCACTCATGGCTGCAGCCAGAAAACCAGCAAGAATGAAGTGATTTTTCAAGTGTCCTAGAACAGTTTATGATCAGCAGGTACTGCAGTGACAGCTCCACATTGAAGGAAGAATGGGAATCATGTGGCAGAAACCTGGAGACACTCATGGAAGACATGAGTGGTGACTGCGTGCGCATGCAGAGACAGGAAGTCCTCTTTTCTGATGTGCCCTTAAGAGAAATCATTGTTCATCTAACAAAACAGTTGCCAATTGGATCCTAACAGAGGCAAATGTGAGGACACCCTTCTGGACTCCCCAAGATACCTCTCTGCAAAGTATGAAGGACAAGGAGATGAAGATAAAAAAAAAAAATGGTGGCGACATTTCTTGGAAAACTACTGAAGTAGATGACAGTATTACTAGTCAAGGCAATCGAACACCTTCCCTATTCATCATCCAGGGAGAGGCCTGAAGAGGGAGGTGTTTCTTTGGAGAATCCACTCAGCTCCAGAAGAGCACGTCGAGGCACCTCCGGGTCTCGGGAAGGGCCCTAAAAGGACCCTCTAATCAGATCTCCTTATGGAGGTGGGACCAGTGTTTCTCTCCAGGTCAGACCAGATCACCCTTGAGCCTGCTCTTACCCACCAGAACAATGAGGGAAACTCCACATGTGGGGGACACCAAGAAAGATTCCACTGAGCCCAAAAGCCATTCCAATGTGAGGAGTGTCCCAAGATCTTCAGTGTGGGTTTTTTAGAAATTCACATTTTTTATTTATGTATTCCTGATTTTAAAGGCAATTAATTAATTTTAATGATTCCAGAATTTGTACAAATAAATGCTGTTCCACATGGCCATTGAAATAACTTTTCTGTGGTTCCCTGTCTTTGGACACGTAAGCACTGGAGGCAAAGCGATGTGGACTTGGAGAACTCTGGAGCCAGCTTGCTCCCTGCAGGCTCAAGAGCAACCATCCCACATAGAAAGAAAAAAGAAAGAAAGAACTTTTCAAAATAGTGTCTTTCCTATAGTCACAATGACTTTCAGTAGTTAACCTATCCAAGCCTTGAGGAATCCAGTCTGTAAATGGGGATAGTACTACCAACCCCAGGATTATTATGAGGATTCACTAAATAATGTAGGTAAAGCACCTGAAATGTGAGGGCTCAAGAAACGATAGCCATTGCTGTCAATCATAGTTCTGTATTGCCAATCTTATTAATTTGTTCAGATGACCTAAAATGTTTCATCAAAACATGAATCTTAGGTTAATTTTGCTATATTATTCCCTTAGAATGAAGAAAAATCAGGTGGCTAATTTCAAGTATTCAAAAGAGCTGTTCTTATACAGTCAAAGAAACATAAATACATACTGCAAAAGAATTAAGTGCATTATGGCTTATACCACATAATAAAATCTGGTCAGATTTTAGTTTGCTTAAACACAAATGTGATCTATACCATTGAATATTAATAATAAAATAATGATCTACATAAAAATAATTATCCATGCCACTGAAAATACAAATAGGTTTAGCTTGAAATAGCAGAATAAAATGGGTTTTCAAAAGCATATATTTATTCTAAACACGTTTCTTTAAACCCCACCAACAATGTTAGTCTACAGAATATAATAAAAAAGTTATTAACACCAACCGTTTATATTTCATGATCTGGCATCAGTTACCTTAAAAGATAAGAGCATGACTAATTTATAGTTTCTTTTCTAAACCTTTGATGTAGGTAAACATTCTAACTTTAACTTCTTGCCTTTAAGCAAAGTTATGTTCTACTTTTCATAACCCAGTTGTAAAGATTTCCAGGAAGTAGCAACCTGATAGCAATTTTAGTGGTGTTTAAACTCATTGTCAGAGACACTGACGTATTATGACCATATATCAGAAAAGTGAAGGCCAAACACTTGGCAATGGCTACTGGAATTGCAAATAGTGTCTTGGGCAGAAATTACAAAGCTATAGGGCAGAGATATCAAATGGGTCTCAACATATAAGACCAATTTTATTTTATTTATTTTTTAATCTTATAGAGTTGTGATAATAAGGTAATATGAGTAAAGAGTCTTGCATAGAATCCTGGTTACAGTTCATTGACTGTACTTATCAAATTAGATATATTAGTAATCCAGACAAAGAAATTAGATGGCTGATTGCTCTTTTTAAAAATATATATATTTTTATTGATTTCGGAGAGAGAGAGAAACATCAGTGATGAGAGACAATCATTGATTGGCTGCCTCCTGCACCCCTACTGGGGATCAAGCCCACAACCCAGTCTTGTGCCCTGGACAGGAATCAAACCCAGGACCCTTCTGTCTGCAGGATGATGCTCTATTCACTGAGCCAAACCGGCTAGGGGCTGATTGCTCTTTATGAAGCCTTTCTCCCTCATCCTAAACTTTTTCTCTTTGTAATAACTTTTGTGATTATGTTTGCATTTATTTATTTATTCATTTATTTATTTATTTATATTTTTGGTATAATTCTGTTTAAAGCAGGGATGCATTTCTTTGTATTTGTACATTATCTGACCATTATAGTTAGTAAATGTTTATTACAATTAACTGAAAGTTATGTCAAAAATGCATTTGGCTGTCTGTACTTAGTGCAACAAACTGTTTTCCAGTTATTAAATGACAGATAATGTTAGTGCATTTTTCTAAAACAATGACATAAAACTGATTCTTATTATTCACAGAAATTATGTTCTATAAATTCACTACAAACACAGAATTAGCAAATACTGAGCCACTGGTCCTGGAGAAAACACAGGGTTAGATTCCTGGGAGCCTCTAATCACAGTTTTGACACAGACCTATGCATAACCC